TATTACCAGCAACACTTTTTCGTATTGTTAATAATAGATGTTATGAAAAGGAATTAACATTGGAAATAAGAATTACTGCAATTGCAGCTTGTGGACATATGCCAGTTAGCTTTAAACCAACTATTTCACAGTGTAGCTGAATGAGTATATAAAATAGCGGGGGCTGGTGAAACCCACTGGAGAGGCTGTGTTAATATGTTAATATTCCAGCTGTTAACCTATACTTGGGTTCATTTTGCTGTCACTATGCTGCCAGCACTACTGCTACCACGTGAGCTGGCTGCCTTAAAGCTAGTACAATTACATATACTTTAGTCACAGCCTTGACTGCATTGTCGATGTAACCTTGGAATTTCCCAGGATACCAGGAAAAACATGCGTCTTGCCAAAAAAAAAAAAAATGTGTAACCCCACAGATGGTCAGAGTCTTAGTTCATGTTTTCAGGATTACCAGATTTGCTCCCTAGAGCCAAAGTGATGATGGTTGAACTTAAAAGGTTAAGTCATAGAATCATAGGGCTGAAAAGGACCCTGAAGGATCATCGGGTCCAGCCCCCTGCATGAGCAGGAAAGACATCTAGGGTCAGGTGACCCCAGCCAGGTGACTGTCCAGTCTTCTCTTGAAGACCTCTAGGGTAGATGAATGCACCACCTCTGGGGGGAGCTTGTTCCATAGTCTGGACACCCTAGTTGTAAAGAAGTTTCTCCTAACGTTCAGCCTGAAGCTATCTTCCAGGAGTTTGCGGCTGTTGTTACGAGTTTTCCCCCAGGGCGCCCTGGTGAAGTTGTTCACGGAGCCCCTGATATACGCCTCTGATATAGCAGTAAGCTGCAATCAGGTTCCCTCTCAGCCTTCTTTTCTTTATGATGAAGAGTTCAAAATCCCTCAGGCTCTCCTCATATAGCTTGCTGTGCAAGTCCCTGGTCATGCGGGTGGCCCTTCTCTGGGCCCTCTCAAGCTTCAGTCACGAGGACTGAAACCATAATGCACCACATACTGGTGAACAGTGGTGTGCTCGCACAGTTCCAGTGGAAGCAGTTGGGCCCCATGTGGGCATAAGTGTCTGTCTGAAATGTGAAACAGGATCAGGACTCTGGACAAGACTAACATAGAGAGTTTTTTTGTTTTGTTTTTTTGCATTATTTGTAAATACTGACTCCTTAGTTTAGGAGCTCTGAACAGATAATGCAGCTACAGAATCCAACTGGTCAAAAACTGTTCTTGTGTCAAGGTTTGAAAATTCCTTTCCAAGAACTTACAGAGCTTTTTTTTAGGCAAATGAGCATAGACACAGACCTCACTTGAATGCTTATGGTAGATGGTACAAACTAGTCTTGCAGCACTTATTTCCATTTTTAGTATTTTGTAATTTCCAGGTTAATTTTTAAATCAGATATTTTAATATTTGCATTCTTTTCCTTGCAGGCCAGCAAACAAGTTAGAAATATGGGAGGATTTGAAGATAATAAGTAAGTCAAAATCAAAGATCACCTACTTGATAAAAATATATGGCTGGAAGGGGCGTCCTGGGCAATGAGGCCCAGACCCTTGCCCTTGAAGACAATCATTTGCCCAAGGCATCCCCAAAATCTCCAATTCATTCATACTAAGCGTAAATGCACCTCCTTTGCCTTCTCTTCCTTGTGAAATATATTTATTGTTGCTGTTGCTTTTGGGAATGGAGCTAATGTGATGACTGCTGCTGCATAATGTTGCAAGGCAGAAGATCCTACCAAAGGGGGCTACTGATGAGAATTTTGTATGCCTTTTGAAAAGTGTAATAAGATCACAAGCCAAGCTGTAGGACCTCACTGACTCTTGAAAGGCTGTAAGGTTGTAGATACCTCTTCTCAGGTTTTACCGAATGAAGTAATACTAATGTCCAGCAACATCTTTCTGAACCTTTAGTAAAAACCAAGGTTTGGGGGAACCAGCTGAAAAGAGAAATTACATTATTGCCTCTAAACCATTGGCTAGTCCTATATTTTATTTGCATCATTGTAATAAATAGTTATACCAAAGGAATCCCTGGTTCATTATTTTATATGGTGGCCAGGGAAAGGGAAAGATGCAGTGAACCACAGCTAAGTGGTTGTGTAGTGAAATACCATTGGACAAAATACCCCACACCCCCCTGCTACCATATCTTGTCCTGCTAAATACCCCACACACCCCTGCTACCATATCTTGTCCTGCTTAGCTCTTTTCTTCTTCTTCCATTTCTGGTTTATTCCTCTCTTCTGCAACTCCCTTATGTATGTTCTTTAATTCCCTGGTTGTCTTCTATGCCTATGCTGTATTTTGACTTTCATGCAAACACACTCTTGGTTGCCTCACACCCTTCCTTTCAGTCATTCTCTCTTGCTAGTGGCTGGCATCTCCAATGCCAGTACCGGCTTCTGTTTCCTTTCTTTAGGTGTCAGCAGCTTCCACCATAGTAGTTAGCAAGCTTCTTGTTTCCATGCTGCTTTCATGCATTTTTTTACCTTAATTGTATAATAAGGTCTGTTGAAATGTAACACATGAAGGCATCTGTTTCCATGGTTTAATGAAAAATGAAGTTCCCTTTTCAAACCCAAATGGATGGGTTTTGGAATTGGCTTTAAGTACACTGTGCACAACATTTTTTGCAAAATTATTTCAATATAGTATAGTTTGGCATGTTTCTTCATAGTACACAAGTACAGAGTTGTTGCCAATTTTACCTTTCATTACTGTACATATCTTAGATATGTTGACCATCTTCATTGTGAAATATATTTGCTATGGGGCCATAATACATTTTTTGAGAATATTGGTGTCATGACAAAAATAATAAAGAAAGAAAGAAATGAGCATGTATTTACCTCTGGCAAATGCTTTCTCCTTCTAAGTTATATAACTTTAAAATGATTTCGTTTTCCTGTTCAAGGTTTCACAAGAAGCATTGTAGCTGTCTATAGTACCTGTATGCTTGTAGTTCTTCTGCGTGTCCAGTTAAATATTATTGGTGGTTACATATACCTGGATAATGCAGCAGTCTGCAAAAATGGCACAGTAAGTACCTAATTATTTGAAGGGGATATCATTAAGGATGGAAAAAAAATATTTAGTGAGAGATGAAAGAGGG